TTATACCGGTTTCGGTTACGGTTACGGATATTTTTTTATTTCGGATATCCGAAAGTTTCGGTTACGGTTACGGATATCTGTGCTTTAGAATGCAATTTTCAATAGTTGTTCAACACGGTTCATTCATGGCCGCACACATAACATCGAATAAAAAGTAATTAAAAAAAATTGATACCTACTAGATGGCATTATAAAAGTAAATCAGGCTTTTATGCCTTTAAATACATTATAATGCTATACAAAAAACAATTTAAACTGCGTACCTCCGGAATTATCCGAAACTTTTGAATCGGTTACGGTTTCGGATATATTTTTATTTCGGATACCCGAAAGTTTCGGTTACGGTTACGGATATCTATAACATCCCTGGTCTTTTCTTACGACATTCACAGGAAGAACGGAGGTCCTATTCTACTAAGAACCACACGGCTAAGTTAGTTTAGTTTAACCTTTTATTTCTCGATGAAACGAACTGTATTATGAAACTCTATCAACTCGATTGTCAAATAAGGCCGCGCGCACACGTGCTACCTTCGCATTACAAGCGCAGCTCTGTACCCGGCCTAATATAATATACGCCGCCGGATTTTGAGAGTACCAGTTTTGCTTTATTAGATTTAGTACACTCTGATTATTTGAAGAGCAGCTTTGGGTACAGAGAAAACAGTGGTAGATGATATTTTATTTTATTTATTTGGTATCGGGATTTGATCATTTAAATCGATTTATGTGTGACATAGGTAATTTGTCACTTACATTTACTTACACTTGATACTCAATTTATTTTCGATTATATGTTATCTACATTTTTTTAAATTAATTCTTTAAAAAAATGCGTTGTTGATGTAGGTACTGGCAATTCAATTCATACTAGTATACGTGGCAGATGATAAAGCTAATTTTGTGTTTGTATGTAACAGTTAATCTCCAGAATTACTGCATCTATTGGTGAAATTCATTCACTAATAAGGTGAATTATTCCAAATAGACGTGGTATACAGGGTGTTAGGTAAATGGGTATATGAGCCGACACTAGCCCATGTTAACATGGGCATATAAATGGTATGGTCAAGTCAGAAAATTGATATCTTCATTTTAATTATTTTAATTTTCATACAAATCGGATTTTATAAACTTTATTTTGTATGAAAATTACACACCCTGTATATTTACTAATTTATAAATATCAGAACTAAATACAGTGCATTTCTCTGTGGCTGTCGTTACTCTGCATTCGGCGCGACTGCAACTACACTGCACCGCCTCACAGTGTCGCTAATACTAATCACAACCGCGCTGCAGGGCCGCCACTGTTATTTAGTTATGAATTATATCATTTATATCATATACGAAACAAGTACTATGCTGCTGTAGTAAAAATTATGCTAAGTAATGAAGACAAAACCATCAGTAGCCAGAGCCACTAGATCGTGTAACGCCAAATAATTAATGTCCAATTATATTAGACTAACGATTCAAGTGGATTCAAATCACATTAAAACTCTTTATTTGTAACTAATCCCAATTCGTAGTACATACCTTATGTAGACCACTTTGTTGACCCTTTTTTTTCTGGCTTAGTTTCTTCCACCATCTAGTCCTTAGTTACCTTAAGCCCGTTCTACACATCAATCCCTAATTTTTAAGTGACCTATGGTAACACATAACAGGTATTTTGTTTTCATAGGGGTCACCGATATTGGACTGTTCTGGTAAACATATTTCATCACTTGGCAGGTCTCCCCTCGGTACTCGGTGGACTGACAACCTGGTGAAGGTCGTCGTGGAAAACTTCGACAGAGGCTTTAGTATTCAGCAGTTAAAAAGGACGGAATCATCAGTTCATTTATTTCCCAAGAGTATCCTTCTCTAATTTATCACAGGGTTGGCAGGCAGGCAGGCTGGATTGCGCTCCCCACTTTAGCCGTTTGGGGGGCCAAAATATGATTATATTATACGCGTGGATCCCGTTTTACCCCCTTAGGGGTGGAGTTTCATAAAATAATTTCTTAGCGGATGCCTACGTCAAAACATTTACCTACATGCCAAATTTCAGCCCGATCCGTCCAGTGGTTTGGGCTGTGCGTTGATAGATCACTATGTCAATCAGTCAGTCAGTCAGTCACCTTTGAGTTATACAATTTAGATTTAAAACCCTACGTTGTCAACCCTGTCACGCTGTATGCAAACATTCGGGGCAACCAGTTTTAATCGGGTCTTTAGTGATTAATTGCAAATTAAATAATAGAGTACTTAGCGCGCGGCATTACGCGGCTCCAAGTTAAATATCTGTACCACGCTCGTATAATAATTTACCCGCGAGACTGGAATTAAAATATACAAAGCCTACATTAATTATTTCTAATACGTATTTATAATACTCCTAGTAGCTTACGTCAATGGATTTTGGTAATATTGCAACTAAAGGCCGTTTGACTTTTCATTGAAAAACACAACTAGAATAGTGAAAATTGTTAAACGGCCTTTAGTTGCAATATTGCAGTAGGCTTACGCCTATCATTATTGTAAATAGATAGAGTGATTTAGTAATACAATACTTGCAGATAGTTCAGGGAGAGAAGAGTTTTAGATGCTGATGTATGTAAACGTCCTGTACGTCCTATTAAATCCTCCGTTTTGCCTCTTGTAAATTAGGGGCTTTGTCTGATAATGATTTTTGTCCTCTAGTGTTCTAACGAAAGAAGACTCCAAAAATATCAGCAATGATATCACATACATAACGTGCACACACGGAATGTACGGAGTTATCATAGAGCAGTCTTTCCCAAAGTGGGCGATAACGCCCCCTTGTGGGCGCTGCAGGCTTAAAGGGGGGCGGTAAGAGACCCAGAAAAAAAATCGGGACGTTGTGTAGAGGCTTGGGAGGCGTCATCTACTAGGAGGACTCTTAGACACCGACTGAGCTCGACTCTTGACTACAAAAATGGGGGGCGCTAAAAAATAATTTATTCTCAAAGTGGGCAGTAGACTAAATAAGTTTGGGAACCGCTGTCATAGAGTCATGCGACGCTAGAGTTACCGCGCTATAGCCTTATCGAAGTACTAGATACTATGAAGGGTTTGAAAAGTAAGCCAATATCGGGCGATTCTTCATGCAAATTAGAATCGGGCCCAACTATTGGCCAACTTAAAGTCGGTAGTCTCCGATCAGCAAGGTTAACTTACAAGTAAAGCCGAGCCTACACAGTGTGCCGTAACTCCGCTGCGGACTAGTCGGCGCCACGTGATTGTGACGTATCGTCTGGGCTATGGGATTGCACTTACTTAAAAAATTACTGTCTTATGGGGTCTCTAAGGGCTTAAGGACCAAGCTACAAGCCAATTGGAGATCATAAAAGCAAGCAATAATCAAAAATCGCAGCGATCGTCAGCCGCAGCGCAATAGAGCTACTGCGTTCGTTCTGCATTTAGTAGTCCCCTGCAAATAAGACTGTTTATTTTTGTAGCAAGATCTAATTCATTGCAATCAAAGTTACCCCAGTGTTGTAAAAAAAAAAAACAAACAAGTGCATATTTTCTATGAAAATATTTAAATAGAGCCCTAGCAAGCATTAACTTGGGAAAGTTCTCGCTCAAGGATGTCACCAACAGTCTCTTTCAACAATCCCCTGACAGATCACTGGCCAAAACATCCCTTTGCAACTTCCTATTTGTCAATAAGCTTCGTTACGTTTTCCGCTGCCGTCAAATAAGAAAAAAAAACAGTGATATAATATGCAGAACTGAATTACTGAATCAAAACATTCTGCTGAAATCTCACAGTTCTTAACGATCGAATAGACGCAGAATCGAATCTCAGACGCCACGTTTCCAGACGGTTACCCACTGAACTCCGCGAAAAAGCACAAATAGATATTATTATAATCCGACAAAAAAATCTGCCTAAAATCGGTCGGCGGTCCGCCCAAGTAGTGTTTTCCTCACACGCACGCACACTAACACGCATGACGTGACTTTTATAGATGCGTCAGCTGAAAAACTTGAGCACTCTAAAGTAGACTCTGTAATGATCAGCATAGAGGTCACCGTGCCTAGCAAAAAGGCGGCTAAATTAGGATATTTCAAAAGTCAAATACAACACTTGAACTTTTCTTGCGCTAATCAACTTCGAACCTTATTGGTTTAGTCTCTAGGTTGAAAAATGCAAAAGTGAAGAAAAGAGATATGTCATGACTGCGTTCCGAATTTGAAAAAGCTTTCCGAGCGCCGCCGAGGGCGTACCGATCGGGCCCGAACGGCGCCGAGACGCAACGAGAGCCGAATGCATTACGGCGTAGTGGGATAGGGTTGGCGAGAGGAAAACTCTTTGCTTTTTTTGCGATGAAAATATTATTCTAATTGGAGGAAAAAGTGTTTGGGTAATAAGAAAAACACTATTTTCGTGAAAAAGGCAGATTCCAGTGTTGAAACCGAATAATTTGAATACGTAATTTACATAGGATTAGGTATAGCTTTCATAAAGTATTTGAAAGATGTATTATTCTCTACATTTACTAAGACAAATCAAAATATGTATTAAAGAAAACACTATTTCTAATTCAATGTTGTCAAAAAACATTCAAGATGAAATTAAAACTAATGATTCCATGGAAACCAAAAGCTCAACGCACAATATTAGCAGAAAACGAACTATAGGTAGGTTAAAAAAATGTAGATTCGATTAAGGATGATTATGAAAATTTTAACTTAGAAAAAAAATTTACAAATAACTTTTACATTGCCGATTTCCAGAAAGAACAACATGTACAAGTTCTCAGTAACCAAAGGACGAAACATGTCCATCTACAATAAAATAACAAAACTAATTAAAAAAAAATTGTCACCAAAACCAATCAACCGAGCTCAACACTACCGAACCGAAAAGTACGCACTGGAAAATCCGGAAAAGCGTGCAGCCCTGTTAGAGGGGCGGGGCGACGCGGCGGCGGGGGCGCGGGGGACGCGGGGGGCGCGGGGCTCATCGCCAGTGAGACGCGGGGCGCCGCGCCGGCCGCACGCGACATGCGCGCCCTCTAGCGGATTATGTTCCTACCCGACCTCCCGCGAGCCTGCATGGTGGACGACGTAGCAACGTATCTCCAAGCGCCGTCCTCGGGACAGGTGGCTACAATATATTAACAACAACCCATATGTAATTAACAATGATCATATTAACAGATGTTGTGAGCTAATGTTGCTTACCTCCAGCGTACGCCGCCCGGGTATTTTCGGGGCGCGATTCAGCAAATCAATGTGCACGTGATAGGACGGATTCCGAAATTCGAATTCGAAGTGAGAGAAGATCGTTGCGGATAGTGTTCAAAACAAAAACAGATCGATGTGAGGGTTGAGAGTTAGCGGTATTATTCTCGAGGCTCCGGTCGTAGGTTATGAAATTCTTCCTGGTGCTAAATCTCGCGGAATTGTTCTCAGTGCGAAGGCTGGAGATGCCGCATTTTGAGTGTAATTTTAATATGTAAACTTTTGGTTGTAAGATTGCATCAAATAAAATTACGTGACTGAAAATGTTTTGATGAAAATATGACTATAATAATTCACGAGGAATAAGAAAAGAATGTATAACAATATGTCAAAACTCCTCAAAAAATAAAAATGAAAAAACTAAAATCAATGACTTTTATCTAATTTCCAATGACTTTGTTTAAACGATAAGATAAATAACGAACTTATTGCTAAAGATGTAAAAATCGAGTTAACTAACTAAAACAAACGCTTTCCATGAAGCTTTTCCAACGATAGAACGACTCTGTTTACGACAACTGACGAAATTCAAAAAGACCTCATTACAAAATCACCAATAAAAATAAAGTCTACGTTAATTTAGACGGCAGTTGTAAAATTATCAATTTTGGACTGTAAGCATATGAAGTTAAAGGCATTTTTAGTATTGCGATGGTAAATCGATATGGTGGCGAAGATGTGAGGCTAACTGCAGGGAAACTACGGCATTGCTAGCATAGCGTCCGCAGTAGTTTTTAAATTTTAACAACCAACCTTTTTCGTTTTCGTTTGTTTGTCGACCTCTTTCAAGATGCGTACTTCTCGAACTGGCCAGTTTTTAGCTGATTGGAAAGGTTCGATGTTTGAAAATTCATGTTTTTGAATTTAGAATCGGCACTGCAGTTACGAAAAAATGTGGTACCTACCATCGAGTTTATCGCGACAGTATTTATTTAAAACAACGCATCTCCAAATCCTTTCGATTTAAGATCAATGCAATATCAAGGTTATTGTTTATCTCAAATATTTACCATAATTTCCATCTTTCAATCTAATTTATAACTTTTATAGTTCTTAAAATCTTTTACCAAGTAAATTAACGTACGTATAATGTTTAACGACATTCAAGACACTCCAACCACTTACTTTTTCACTAATTTTCCCAAGTTTTCGGACGTTCTGTTTTCCCAAAAAATCTTAGAGAAAATTTCACACAATTTCTCTAGCAATCATTGATTGTTGCCATGTTGACTTTCAAATAGAATTTAAAAAATGTTTAGAAGTCCCAAACCAATTGCAGCGAGTCGCACAAAGTGAATTCCTGTAAATAAATGCAATTCAGTATTCGGACAGTCCAGTCAGCGTTGCTCAGCGAGGCAGAACAGCCATTGCTTAGAAGAAAACCTCATTTAACTTTGCTGTTCAAGAGTTTTGCATTTCGGGACTTCCCCCTTTGATACGGAACGCGGGATGTAGGGTAGCTGGAATTGTTACTTTTGTTTCTTGAGATTGTTTATGGCACAGTAGCAATTTAGGTACTTTCTTTTGGATGGAGGTTCATGTATGGTACTTTACTGCAAAATACATTACTTTTTGTACATTTTATTTTAATTTACTCGGAAAACGAATACCAAGCAATATAATTAAATTATTGTTATTTTTGAAAAAAAAAAACATGAACATTATTTTGTTTTATTTAGCGATGTATTAATGCAATAATTTATGATAATATTCATATTTGTTGTACCTATGTTAGGTCAATTAAGAAACAGTGCAAATCAAAAAATGTTTCGCCATGCAAAATACATGAGCTTTCTTATTAATCTTAATTTTAATTTCATCAATAGATTACATCAATGATGAGATATTTCTCATCTGCTAATGCCATAGACAAAGATAACAAACAATGCCCTTTAAGCATAGACAAGAGAAAAATGACGGTCCTCTGCATTGAGGGATATGGGAGGGCGCGCTGCGTAATCAGGCCATAGCTAGCAATCGCCATCAAAGATGGAGGCAAAGGGAAAAATACATCCTTGACAATGAATATGGAGATTGACATCCTAAGATCCTGAATACCATAATCAATGTATAATAAATTATTCTTGATTTTAGTCAATCTGGTTTAGAACTTATTTGGTACCTACCTCCATTCCTCCATACTTACGAGTAGCTATGGGTGATAAAACTATTTGGATGGAAAGCTTTAACTGTTTCATTTTTAAGAATAGCTTTTAATTAGCAAGTGAATTTTATACTTTTAAAGATCGAAAGAAGATTCTATAGTAACAATTTCCTAAATCTAAGTACATTCACATGTTTTGTACATGCTAAGTAGGTGGTTTCCCTCTGAAACCTTTGGGAAATTGTAATTTCTAGTTTTTGTAAAAGCTCACATTATGGTTGCCTTACGATCAGTTCACTTGTTTTAGATGGATCCTTACAAAAAATAAGTTTATGTAACCCATTTTCTTGAATTTTTCGTGAGTGTTTATAGAACGTTTTTTTTTTGCCTTATTACAAAATAACGAAATAATATAAAGCACTATAAAACGCAAAGGAAAATAAGCACCCTTACGATCTAAAAGAAGACTATATTTCGGTAATGAACAAGCTCACAAACTGAAATAAATTACCAAAATAAAAAATAATTTGCTGATTGAAAGCAGCGCTATAGAAAATCGTAGAACGGAACGTTGAAAAAAGTTGACAGTAAAAAAATGTCCAAAAATACCCGGCCGGCCACGCGCCGCGCATTTCGGTGTTTAAAAAATATACTCGATGTTTTATCTCTCTCCCCCGTGTGTTTGTTTCTCTTTCTATCACTTTTTCTTGCCACTATCGGTGTTTGAATGTTTTTCACTAACTGTTAATGTTGATATTTAACCCCGTATTTTAAATGTAATTAGATCCTTATTGATTGCCTGAAATCGTATGATTAAAAAAAATTACAACAATAACTGGCAGTTAAAAAGGTTTTGAGTAAAAAAGAAATGAAAACGTTCCATTTCAGCTGAAAATGTTTACAACATATCATTTCACGCAATCAATTGTACATTTTATTTACATTTTAATGTTATCTCGACTAGAAAAATGTACAACGCATTTCATTAGTCCATTTTTTGAAATTTATTACACAGATCTGACATTGAAAAATTGATCAATAAGACTTTCAGTTTTTATGCAGAATCGTTGTACGTCCGTCTAGTTATTTTAGATTTAAAATTTGTACGAGTAAATGTGCATGTATCCCGAATGCACTACCCCAAAGCAAGAATGTGTGCACGTTTTCATTTTTCTATGTTTTTTACTTCTTCTTTTTAATTTCACGTGTTCAAAGCTGAAGGCGAGTCCATTAGTTGATTGGTTTAGTACATCAATGGCTACTAGTATACGGCCCGAAACAATTTTTATACGATTTTTCTTTTAGGTTTTTTAAGATACCTTTATAATGAAAGCGTTAGATTAGATTTTCAGTCTAGTAGAGGTTTCACAGATACGCGGTCGTCAAATTAAAATATTACTAGTTATTTTTTCGATATTTTAATGCACAAGTAAGTGATAATTTGAAGTAGAAGTTGTAGATAGTTTTCTTTAAAGACTTTATACAGAAATATGCTGTAATATCTCACTGCAATGCATCTTCACTTGAAGGTTTCAAAGAAATTGACAAACCTTTTTTTGGTCAAATGCTATCACTACTGAAGGCAAGTGACCAACCCTTCGTAGATGCTATCAAGACGCCATAAGCCAGACTTAATGAAACTCCATTAAGTCCCGAAACAACATCGCGGTAATAAAATTTACATTACAATTCTCAAAGATATGATCACAGACAGACATTCATTCTGTGCTATTTACACGACTATTAGTTTGAAATATTGTGCGTACTGCAGTTAATTTTCGACTGTTGAGGATTTTTAAATACGTTTTCGGCTGTAAATATACTACTTTAATAGATATTTCCATTTGCACGGACGCGTTCATTACTCACACTTGTAGGTCGTACCTAGATCTGTTGAAATACTTTAGATATCTTTATCTAATATCAAAATTCTCGTGTCATAGTGTTTGTAACAAAACTCCTTCGAAACTTGATAAATTCTTATGAAATTTTGGGTGTATATTCAGTAGGTCTGAGAATAGGATGTGAACTATATTTCATACTCATGACTCAATTTGACATGTAATGAACATTATGAATAAATTTCTTATTCTTACTCCTAGGTGCAAAATAAGCTTTGTCCGGCTAGTTATTCATAAAGTTAATCAACTAGGTTACAAAGGAGAAAACATTTTGTAACGTAGGAAAAGTGTTTGCAGTAAAGTTATTCGTGACGCCCGTATTCACAATTAAACGTTACTATGAGGTCTCACAATGCGTGTGGACGCACAGGGTGACACACGAACCAATCACAGAGCTCTATTCAACGCTGTGCGTTCGATTTGCTGCGTCACTTAAGCAAGAATCATTTGTGAATACCGGCGTTAATATTTGTTCATTATTTCGCTCTCGTTATTATGAAATACATTTTTTGTTCACAAAATCGATTATGACTGAATTTTCATTACTTCCGCAGTCATAACTTTTTATAATTTGTTACCAATGATCAAGGTTCTTTAGTCACGGATTTTTCTCAAAGTTATCTGATTCAAAAGCTTGAGTTGAGTTCTTGTCTCTATCCTTTGGTTATTTGATCTCTCTAAGTGCTGCTTGGTTTGATAGAGTCTCGATTGTTTACTTATTATTATTCTATGCTAATAGTCTGTTTTGATAATCTTATGGACTCTACACACAAAGCCTACCGACAGCCCGGCGGCTTGGTGTCGGCGGCTTTTTACAAAAGAATCATGTCGGCAACTGTTCAGCGGCTTTGGTG